TCAGGTGTTCATATCTATCTTCCAAATTTCTTTTTTTTTTCTTAACTTACTTCTGTCAACATTTACACTATTGATGTTTCTCTTGTTTTCAAGAATTTTTTTTTTAATCCCACACATATCTTTAAATATATCCCTTTTTCCTCTTTCTTCCTGTTTTACTTAACATCTGAAAAGGATTACCTAAATTTAGTATTTGTTTCCTCACCTCCCAATTGCTTATTTTTTCATTACAATCTGGATTTGGTCCCTATTACTCTAAAGAAAATATCTTCAGAAAAATAAAGCATTGTTTTTTCTATCTTTTGGTATAGGCATACATACACATACTCTTTCTCTCTCTGTCTCTTTGTCTCCCTCTAAAACTTTGTGGCTAGAACAAGCATTTATTTGATTACCATTGAGCAATTTGTTCTGAGCTCAGATGGGCAAATTTGTGAGTTCTTGTCTGTGGCCAATCATATGGATGTACACATCTGCTAACTTAACTGGAAATAGTGATTAAGATGGCCTCACACCCATGTCTAGGACAATGTTCTAGGAGGACAAATCTCAATGGGCAAGAGCTTAAAATATTTGCTTGTTTTATGTTTGCTCAAGTCCTACTGGCCAAAGCAAAGCAGATAATCAATCCCTCTTTTAATGTGGTAGAGTAGTAGATCAGTTTGTCCACTGACAGCATGATTAACAACCCATCCAATTGCAGACTATAATCACCAACTCCCCAAAAGTTTTATTCTATTATGGTATCATGCAGAGGTCCATGATTATATGTTCTGCAGCAGATCTGATGCAGATGAAGTTCTCTGGTTTCAGCTTCTTTTGACCTGATAGTCTGCTACCTTTGACCCCAAGAATATACATGTCTCCTTTGTACAAAATATATCAAAGACTTAAATGTAAGTGCTAAACCCATAAAACTCATAGAAGAAAACACAGAGGTAAATCTTCATGACCTGGGATTTTGCTATGAATTCTTAGATATGACACCAAAAGCATAAGTAACAAAAGAAAAAAAGGGTAAACTGAACTTCGTCAATATTAAAAATATGTATTTTGTACATCAAGGGACATTATCAAGAAAGTGAAACACAACCTACATAATGGGAGAAAATGTTTGCAAATCATATATTCATGTAGTCTGTGTCTGCTTGAAGCTTTGCATTAGCTTCTTCCAATTTTGCCTTTTGTTCCTCAAAATGTTTTAGTTGATAAGCTTTATCTTCAAAATGCCATTGTAATTCTACAGTATCTCTCAAATAGGCCTCGTGTTCTAAACAGGAATTTTATCTCAATTAAAAAAATTAAGAAAATTGGAACAAAGAACTTCAGTTAGTAATAATGTATCAATACTGCTTAAGTAATTGTAACAAATGTACTATCCTAATGTAAGATGTTAAAATAGGGAAAATGTGGTCCAGAATATGTATGAAATCTCTATATTATCTTTCCAACTTTTCTGTAAGTCTTAAACTGTTGTAAAATGAAGACTATTTTAATAAAACAATACTATTTAAGAGAACATAAAAATTAATTAAAGGAAAGTAAATGATGTTAAAGAAAAAAAATAATATGACCATGGCTTTGGGTTATGAGATTAAACCCAATCAGATAATTCTTGTGATACTTCAACTTCGCATGGCTTCTTAGAACTGTTACATAAATCAGCCCAATGGTAAGTTTCTGTAGTATGCAGGAGTGTGTTACCAGTTTCCAAAACCAAGGGATAATATTTTCCTAATTATTAATTAGCTTAGGATCTAATAATATACTCATTGAATGCTCATTCTCTTCTCTGCCTGTCTATCTTTTGTCCATTTTCTTTTGGGTTTATTTGGATTTTCTTATTGGCCTGTAGGAACAAATTACTACCTTTAGTTTGTTACCCTCTCAGTTTGATTTGTCTTTTTACTTTATGATATCTCTTAGTTAAAATAAGTTTTTAATTTTAATATACTTACATTTATCATTTTCCCTTTATTTGAAGTGTTTTGCATCATGTTTAACAACTCTTACTGCAGAGTCCTAAAAAAATTTTCTTATATATCTTCTAAAATTATAAAGTTTTTTGCTTGAGATTTATTTGTTGAACAACGTGAAATTGTTATTTTTGTGTGTAGACACAAAGAATGGAATAGGTAGTTATTTTCATTCATAAAAATATGAAAAATTACTTTTCTCAGCATTAATTTTGTTGCAAAATCCAGTCATTTCTTAGAAATCAGCTGTACAGTATCTATCCTATATCAAGTTTTCATATATGATTGTATCTATTCCTGACTCCATCATTCTACTGGTTAATTTTACCTATTACAATACCTTATTTTACTAAACACGCTTCATAATATGTTTTACTATCTGGTGTGGTGGTTCCCTCTTTTTTTCCCTTTTTATACTTCTTTGATTATTCTTGGTACATATACATTTTAGAATAAGCTTGTAATATTACATGTAAAATGTAATAGGATTTCAAACAACTGCATTCATCAGTTTTTTTATTATGTAGATGAATTTAGTCTCCTCAGAGTTTTTTAGATTCCATTAAATCTATTATACTGTTAGCATAAGAAAAGTTCAGCAGTGTAGCAAATAATGAAACTAGTTTAGAAGGGCAGTCTAAGTATGAGGTAATGAGGGAGATGGGCAAATTGATGAAAATTTAATGTTAAATTATTGGTTCTTTTACATATTAATATATATATAGTTTTCATTTAACATACATCTGTGTGTATATAAGTGTATATGCATATACATAGATATGGATAAATACATATAGATCAGTTGGCACACATAAATAAAGCATCCTATGCTTTCTGCCCATTTGCTTTAATTTTCTGCTAATTACTGTTCATATAGTTTTCCCAATTTTTTTCTTGTGTTTGTTAATTTTTATATATGTGTAGAAGTATTTTTTTATCTCTTTTATCTCTTTATCTCTTTTGTTACAAAATTTTTTTTCTGCTTGTACTAATTTTTAAATTATTTATAGTATTCTTTCATAGAGAAATTTGTATGTAAAATCAATCTGTTATCTGACAAATTTTGTATCATCTAACAAAATTTTCCTCATATCAAGATTATTAAAATATTTTACTATTTTCAGTACTTCCTTTTTTACACTTTGGCTTTTTCAAATCTGAAGTTTACTACTTTATGGCATGAGGCACGTACTTTATCTCTTCTAAATAATTGTTTAAACTATCCTTATATCATTTATTGACTTGTCCATCTCCCTTGATTTGTAATGTAAATTTTACAAAAAACTAAATTCTCATATATATGTCATACATATATATATTGTAAATTTTACAATAAACTAAATTCTCATATATATATCTCATATATATCTCATATATATTTGTAATGTAAATTTTACAATGAACTAAATTCTCATATATATAGATCTCATATATATCATATATATATAATGAAATGGTTACTATTTCAGTCTTTTTCATATTTGGATAACAATATTCTTATACTAAATTTCATCTTTTGATTTTTTTAATATTATGGAGAAATATATATATGCCTTGAATTTGTTATTATATCACTTTTATCCATTCCAGTATATGTTATATCTTAAGTAAATTTTCTTGTTTTTTTAATACTCTAATCTTTCCTCAAATATTTGTATACTTTTTTATTTTTTGTATTTATAAATGATGGACCAGACTGATAACTGGTTGTGAGCATAAGTTTTTTGCTGGTTTTGTTGGTTTTTTTGTTGCTATTATTTGTTTGCTTTTTAGCAGCTGTCAGAGCCTTCTTACATTAAAGGCTTTTATCCAGTAAATAAAATATTGTACTGGAATTCTTTGTAAATAGGAGGTAATATGTTTAGGAAAGGAAATTGAGGGAATGTCTTTTTACTTAAATAAGCATACATTTGAGTTTGTTGTAGCACCTTCAAGTATTTTCATGCATTGATGAATTAGCCTTTGTTTTTCCTTTATCCACTTGTTTCTATGTGAGATTCTGCTAGTTATGTAGGCTCTGTTTTGTTTCTCTCTAGAACCACAACTTCCATTCTTAGCCTCTCCATCCTAGTCAGATCTCGAGTGTGGCTAGAGAGTTCTTCTCATGGCAATGACATGAAGGCATCTTCTCAGCCATATATTCTGGATTCTAAGAGTGGAAAGCAATAATACTAGTCTACCTCACCACAGGCAGGCCATCAGTTATTTACTTTGATTATCACCTACTTATTCTTACATACTAGGAATTTTTCATGAGCTCCAGAGAAGCCTTTTACCTGCCCTGAAATGGTCTTCATTTTTTCTTCTGAGTTATATTTTTCTTTGCTCTATTTTAAGTGACAGTTTCATCTGTTTTCTTTCTATATCTGGGAATTTTTCTAAAATATATGTCACAGTGATTTTATTGGCATACATATATACCTTTCTCCAGAAATATTGGATGACATGGGAATTGAAGAGAAGTAATCATGTTTGCCCAACTAACATCTGGAATTAGACATTATCTATGAAACCCATAAAATTATGACTATGTATCCCTTGTGTTTTTGGTAACTTGTGTCTTTTATAGCCCAGGATACTCTTAGAATATTCTGTAGAACGTGACTCCTGCCGTGGAGTTTATGGTCTAAAAGAGGGACACTATGGAAAGCTAAATATTTGTGAACTTACCAGAGTGTTTTCCACTCTTTGGTTATATATTAAAATTTAATAGATATAATGCACTTCTGATTATATGGAAAGTCTTTTGGGAGTAAGTGGCATTGAACAGGCCCTTAATGAAGGAATAAGATTTAGAAACACAGATGAAAGGTAAGAACAATTAGGTGGGAGTAATAAAAGGACTAGGTAGTAGAAGTGTGTATCTGTTTTAGAAATAACAGAGTATAGTTTGACAAAAATATAATGGGGTCTGTGAAGTGGAGTACTTATAGTTTTATCAGTGAGTTCAAATGTAAGCTAGCCTGCTATTATTTTTTGAGATATTTAAAATTTGATTTTTATTGAGATCTTTTATTTTGACAGTTTGAAACTTCTCTTGAGGAATGGTAAGCACCTTTCATTCTTTTTAAGTTGTTTTTAAGTTCAAATTTTAATGATTAAGGTGCTGTAGATGAGTTTTATTTCAAAAGAAATAAGAAATTCAAAGCAGAATTTTTCATACTTGTTATTAAAATGCATTTTTTTGAAAAGGTAAGAATTAGGACATCACTGAAAATGGCAGAATAGAGATCTCTGGGGCTCTGTCCCACCACAAAAAAATGTTGGCAAAAATTTGTCAGAATCAGCTTTTGTAGAACTCTGAGTTTAGTAAAAGACAACAACTAGGGGGAAAGTTAATGAAGAGTCTGTTGTATTGCATTAGGAGAGCACTATGGCACTATAAATTGCCCCCTTGCCATTCTTTAGCCCCCAAATCAGTGGTGGCCGGGAAGAGAGCAGCCTGTACCTGTGCTGCAGATGGCTAGTGCCAGAGAAAATAATATGGACCTTATTCTCAAAGAATTGTGTTTCAGTGTTTTGACCTGTCTGATGACTTCTTGAAGAACCAGCACAAAGGCTTATCTTTGTTTTGCCTGACTTGAAGCAATCACTCAGCTGGAACCACTTAGAGGCAGTGTTTACTGAAAGCATTTGAAGGCATATACTTGCCACCACTGTCTGAAGCTGTGAATAACAGTTGGGACAAACATTAGACAAACCAAAATGCCTGGGAAAGAAGACATACATGGGGGAAATAGAATTTTTCAAAGCTGTTATATATACTGCAGAATCAAGAAGTGCACACGTATGACCAGAGCTAGGCACATGCTCAGGGAAAACCCAAGAAGACCCTAATCTTTCATCACTGGCTGACCTTTAGGATCTGTGCAGGCAACAGTTAAAAGTAGAAGCAGAGCTGTAAACAGCCTGGGTAAGCATTGAAGGAATACTTCAACAGAGAGCCCATCTGCTAAGACGAGTATTTTTTATTCCTTTTCCTTGTCCTTTTCTTTTTCCCTTCTTTTCCTTTCCTTCCTTCCTTCCTTTCTTTCTTTCTTTTTTTTTTTTTTGACTCTAGGTATTTAAGATAACTTGGAGAAAACATAAGTTTACCAGTAAGCTAATGAAACACTTAGTTCAGTACCCACACATGACAAAGAATACATACATTACTCAAATGTGTTTAGAAGAACTACTAAACAAAGAACAACCTACAACAAACCCAACAGAGGGAAGGTAATCTTATTTCTATTTCACATTAAACTATTTAAAATGTCCAGTTTTCTACAAAAAATCATAAAGCAGGCAAAGAGAAAAGAGAAAGTTTGTCTCACTAAAAAGGGGAAAAAAAGAAAGAAATTTTTAAAAATGGCCCTGAGAAAGATTAAATGTTGGACTTATTGGACAATAACTAAATCAGCTATCTTAAATATTCTCAAAGAGATAAAGGAAACCATGGACAAACAGTTAAAACCAGGAGACTAATGTCTCAACAAATTAAGATTACCAATAAAGAAATAGGAATTATAAAAAAGAACCAAGCGGATATTCTGGAGATGAAGAGTATAATAACTGGATGAAAAAATAATTAGAGATGTTCATCAATAGATTTGAAATAGCAGAGGAAAGAATCCGTGAACTTGAAAATAGGCCAATTGATGCACTACTGGGTATTTACCCCAAAGATACAAATTTAGTGATCCAAAGGGGTACGTGCACCCCAATGTTTATAGCAGCAATGTCCACAATAGCCAAACTATGGAAAGAGCCAAGATGTCCTTCAACAGATGAATAGATAAAGAAGATGTGGTATATATACACAATGGAATATTATACAGCCATCAAAAAAAAAGAAATCTTGCCATTTGCAACAACGTGGATGGAACTGGAGGGTATTATGCTAAGCGAAATAAGTCAATCAGAGAAAGACATGTATCATATGATCTCACTAATATGAGGAATTCTTAATCTCAGGAAAAAACCTGAGGGTTGCTGGAGTGGTGGGGGGTGGGAGAGATGGGGTGGCTGGGTGATAGACATGGGGGAGGGTATGTGCTATGGTGAACGCTATGAATAGTGTAAGACTGTTGAATCACAGACTTGCACCTCTGAAACAAATAATACATTATATGTTAAAAAAAAAAAAGTAGGAAGGGAAAAATGAAGGGGGGGAATTGGAGGGGGAGATGAACCATGAGAGACTATGGACTCTGAGAAACAAACTGAGGGTTCTAGAGGGGAGGGGAGGGGGGATGGGTTAGCCTGGTGATGGGTATTAAAGAGGGCACTTATTGAATGGAGCACTGGGTGTTATACGCAAATAATGAATCATGGAACACTACATCAAAAACTAATGATGTAATGTATGGTGATTAACATAACATAATAAAATAAAATTAAAAAAAAATAGGCCAATTGAAATTATTCAGGCTGAGGAGCAGAAAGACAAAAGAATGAAGTAAAGTGAACAGAGCCTAATAGATCTGAGGGACGTAATCACAAATACAAATATATGCATAATGGGAGTCCAAGAGTACTAGGGAAGAGAAAAAGGGGGAGAAGGAATATTTGAAGAAACATTGGCTAAAAATTTCCAAATTTGATGAAAGACATGAATTTATAATTTTCTAAAACTCAGTGAACTCTACGCAGGATAAACTCAGAGATCCACACATTATAGTCAAATCATTGAAAACCTGGGACAAAGAGTATCTTGAAAGCAGTGAGAAAGAAGTGATTCATCATGAGTAAGGGATCCTCAATAAAAGTGACAGTCAATTTCTCATCAGAAATTTTGGAGGCCAAGAGCATGTGGGTGGCTCATTGGGTTAAGCATCTGCTTCCAGCTCAGGTCATGATCTCAGGGTCCGGGGATGGAGCCCTGCGTTGGGCTCTCTGCTTAGCGGGGAGTCTGCTTCTCCTCTCACTCTGTGCTCTCTCTCTCAAGTAAAAAATAAAATCTTAAAAAAAAAAAAAAAAGCCTGTCAAATGAGAATTCTGATTCTTGCAGAAGTGTCCTTCAAAAATAAAGGAGAAATTAAGATATTTCAAGATAAACAAAAATTGAGGGGCTCCATCTGTAGCAGACTGTTCTATCAGAAATCCTAAAGGTAGTCTTTTAAGTAGAGATGAAAGGACATTAGACAGTAACTTGAAGCCATATGAAGAAATAAAAACAATAAGGTAGCTACAAAGATAGATCTAAAAGTCAGTATGATTGCATTTTTATTTTGCATCTCTTATTTTTCTATATAATTTTAAATGGATAAAGTTATAATTCTATATTAATGGGCACACAATGGATAAATATGTAATTTGTAGAAATGACAACATGAAGGGAACAGAAGTATAAAGGAACAGAGGTGTTTTTTTTTTTTAATACTACTGAAACTGCATTGATTTTAATTCAAACTTAATTTTTATGAAGTTAAGGTGTTAATAATAATCTCCAATGAACCACTAGGAAAAATTGTATAAAACAAAAACACCAACATAAATCCAATAAGGAAACTAAATACATTAGGAAAATTCAACTAATCACCAAAGAAGGCAGTTATGGAGAAATTAAAAATGAAAAATATTTAAGTATTATAGAAAACAAATAACAAAATGGCAGAAGTAAGTCCTTCCTTAATAGTAATTGCTTTTCATGAAAATGGATTAAATGGATTAAATGGACTAAATGGATTAAACTTTACTGTTAAAAGATAGTGATAGAATAGATAAAAATACATGATTCAATTATATGCTGTCTATAAGAGACTCACTTGAGATCCAGAGACACACTATGTTGAAAGTAAAAGGATAAAAAATATATTCCATGAAAATAGTAACCAAAAGAGAGCTGGGGTAGCTAAACTAATATAACACAAAATAGACTTTTGGTCGAAGCATATTATAAGAAACAATATTTAACATCTTGATAAAAGGGCCATTCCATCAAGAAGTTATCAAAATTATATACATACCCAAAATACAACCTCAAAATGCGTGAAGTGTAAACTGACAGAATTAAAGTAAGAAATATGCAGTTCTGTAGTAAGAGTTTGAGAATTCACTCTATCCTCACTTTCAAGAATGGTAAAAAGAACTTAAAAAAAAAAAGAACTAAAAAAAAAGAGTAATGAAAAAGATTTGAACAGCACTAGAACAATCTAGACCTAACAGACTTATATAGTACACACCACCCAATAGCAGTAGAAAACACATTCCTTTCTTGTTGACATTGAACATTATTCAGGATAGATCATATGTTAAGCTATATAACAAATCTCAATAGAATAAAAAAGACTGAAATCATACCAAGTATCCTTTCTGACCTAATGGAATGAAACTAGAAATCAATAACAGAAAGAAACCTAGGAAGTCCATGTGAATGTAGATTTTAAACAACATGCTCAAAAAAACTCAGTGAATCAAGGCTGTAATCACAGAAGATACTTTGAAATGAATGAAAATGAAAATACAATATACCAGAATTTATGGGATATAGCAAAAGTAATGGTCGCAGGGCAATTTATAGACATAAATGTTAACATTAAAAAAGAAGATCCCAGGGCGCCTGGGTGGCTCAGTTGGTTAAGCAACTGCCTTCGGCTCAGGTCATGATCCTGGAGTCCCGGGATCGAGTCCCGCATCGGGCTACCTGCTCAGCAGGGAGTCTGCTTCTCCCTCTCCCGCTCCCCCCTCTTGTGCTCTTTCTCTCTCTCACTCTCTCTCTCAAACAAATAAAATAAAATAAAATCTTAAAAAAAAAAAAAAGTTAAAAAAAAAAAGAAGATCCCAAATCCAGTACCCTAACTCTATACCTTACAGAACTAGAAAAGAATGAATGTGCTAAAGCTGTGAAAAGAAAGGAAATTATAAAGATTAATGCAGAAGTAAATGAAGTCAAGAATAAAAAATAAATAAGTAAATAGTATCAGTGAAAACAAAAGTTGTTTCTTTGAAAAGATCAACCAAATTCACAAACCTTTGGCTAGACCAGCAAAGAAAAAAGACTTGAATTATGAAAATCATAAAAAAATTGGGGATATTACTATAGATCTCACTGAAATAAAAAGGATTATAATACTATGAATAATTGATAATACAATGAACAACAAATTTAGGTAACCAAGATGAAATAGACAAATTCCTAGGAACACATAAACTATCAAAACTGACTGAGGAAGAAGTAGAAATTCTAACAGATTTGTAAAAAGTAAAGAGATTAAATCAGTAATCAAATATCTCCCAACAAATAAAAAGCCCAGGACCAAATGGCTTGACTGGTGAATTCTATTGAACATTCAAAGAAGAATTAATACCAATGCTTCTCTAACTCTTTTAAAAATTAGAAGAGAAAGGAGCACTTTTCAACCATTCTATGAGGCCAACATTATCCTGATACTACAGCCAGATAAAAACATCATAAGAAAAAGAAATGTAGACCAATGGCTTTATGACTATAGATTCAAGAATCTTCAACAAAATACTAGCAACCTGAACCTAGCCATATTAATAGAATTACATGTCATGACCAAGTGACATTTCTCCCAGGTGTGTAAGGGTTTTTCAAAATACAAAAAAATAATCAATGTGTAATATATCCACAGTAATAAAATGAAAGGGGAAAATCCATGTGAACATCTCAATGTGGAAACGTGGCAAAATTCGACGTCTTTTCATGATAAAAACACTCAAAAAACAGACAAGAACAGATTAGAAAGCATGATGAAGGACATTTATGAAAAACCTTCAACTGACATTATACTTAATGGTAAAGTGCGAAATTTTTCAACCTAAGATCAGGAACAGCACAAGGATGCTAGCTCTTCTCACTTTTATTGGACATTGGAAACCTCATGCATTGCTGATGGGAATGTAAAATGGTTTAGTCACTTTGAAAAACAGTTTGGTGGTTCCTCAAAAAGTTAATCCTAGAATTACCATATGACACAGCAGTTCCACTCTGAGGTATATACAGAAAACATTTCAAAACAGGTGTTCAAACAAAATCTTATATATAAATGTTCATATCATCAGTACTCACCATAGCCAAAAGGAGGAAACAACCTTAAATTTTTTCAGTAGAAATCTTTGAAACTTGTTCTATAAGAGGCCAGCATTACCTTGATCTCAAAACCAGACAAAGACCTCACCAAAAAGGCGAATTACAGACCAATATCCTGATGAACGGGGATGCAGTCCTTCTCCCCCCCCCCTGCCCCTCCTCCCCATTCTTGCTCCTTCTCACTCTCAAATTAAAAAAAAAAGAAAGAAAAAAAAATTTTGCTGGCCCAAAAATTAACTAAATTTTGAAAAAAATGCACAAAAATAGATTGAATTATGTGCAACAATTTAGTGTATCACAAACCAGTAGGGAGAGCGTTATTTGCTGGGACGATTATTTTTCTATTTTTATTTTAATTATTTTCTTTATTAGTTTCAGAAGTAGAATTTAGTGATTGGCCAGTTGCATATTACACCCAGTGCATGTTACATGAAGTCCCCTCCTTAATGCCCATCACCCAATTATCCCTGCTCCCCCAGACTCTCCCTCCAGCAACACCCATGTTTTTATTATTTATTTATTTACTTATTTATTTTTTGTGGTATGAATGTTTCTTTTATTTTTAATTAATTTTTTGAGTATAGTTGACATATACTGTTACATTAGTTTCAAGTGTGCAACATACTCATTGAACATTTTTTTATTTTCAAACAATCAAGAAAAAATAGATTATTTAACAAAAATATTTTAAAATGAAATTGAAACTAAAGGAGAAAATATGATGAATATTTCCTGACCTCATAATAAACAGGCTTTCCTAAATAAATTCTGGAACAACAATGAGACAAATAGTATGCAGCCATCAGAATATTAAGCTGTAGTCAAATATACAGGAAACAATGTCATGTAACTAAGGCAGCATGCAATATTTTATGACTCTAATTTTATAAAAATTGAAATATCATTAAAGTGTTATCTTCTGTTATATCTAAAAAGAATGAATTAGTATAGATTATTTTATATTATGATTTTTGGTATGTACAAACTTCCTTTAATTTGTAATACTTCTTTAATAGAAAAAATAATTTAATAAAAATAGCACTCTGCTTTGTTGTTGATACTGTTTTTCTTACAACTTTTATCAGATGAAGAGTACTTCTTTTTAAATACGATGAAAACTTTACCTAGAAAAACTATTTAAAAAAATTTTTTTAAGATATTATTTATTTATTTGAGAGAGAGAGAACATGCACAAGTGCATGAGGGATGGGGTGGCGGGGGGAGGAGCAGAGGGAGAGGGAGAGGCAGACTCCCCGCTGAGTGAGCCTGACACAGGGCTGGGTCCCAGGACCCTGAGATCAAGACCTGGGCCCAAGGCAGATGCTTACCCCAGGCGCCCCTAGAAAAATTCTTTAGAAAAGAAATAATATTTTAATTTGGACATTTTGCTAAAACCTATTAATTTCCAATCTGAAAAAGCATTTTTGGTCCTTGTATTTTATATGGTACCCAGGAAACTGCTAAACTGAAGTTAGAGAAATACCTCTCAAATTATTCTCAATAAACCCCCTTTTCCTGATAGCAACACTAAGGAACACCAGTTCATTTTCTTAAAAAAAAAAAAAAAACCCACAAAACTTCTTTAATATCCTCTCAAATATTTTTAGGTCATTTGTAACAAATTTTAAATTTCTGTTAATTTACCATGAAATATAAAGCCCATTATGTATTAGAATTTTGCTATATTACTCTCTTAGATAGTAGCATTAGCATGTATAGTAAGTTTCACCACAAACATTTAAAATTTAATGTGAGAATCACCTAAAATTTGTTTTACTACCTTTAAACTTTAAGTAAAGCAGTTCTTTATTAATTGATTGCCTCTTTCCCTTTATATAGGAGCAGAACTTCATCCACACAAGACCAGAAGGAAGATTGGAGTGTTGCTACACCAGTGAAAGAGGTTAAACCAGAAGAGAGAGGTAGAGTTGTACCTCATACTTAAATCAGTGAAATTATATTTAAAATTAAAATTAAAATTATATTTAAAAGCTCATTGACTTTTCATTTAACATATTTTTAATTTTTACAGTAATTATTTTAAGAATTTTATAATTCTTTTGAATGTCTAATGGAGGAAAGAGCCTTCTATCATTTGATTAAGCAACAAAATTCAACAAATATTTATTATACGATGTACTGGTCTAGGTCCTGAGTGTATAATGATCCCTCTCCATCTCCCAAGAAGCTAACTGTAATTCAGTGCTGTCCAGTAGTACTTTCTGGTATGAAAGTGTTCTCTATTTCCACCATCCAGTAGAGTAGCTACTAGCCATATATAGTAGCTGCTTGAAATGTAGCTAGGAAGACTGAGAATTTAATTTTTCAGTTTAATTTTAACATGTTAAATGTAAATGGTCACGTGATTCATGGCTATCACACTGGACATGGAGGCTCTGCTATATTTATATCTTATATATAATATATATATAAATTAAGATTAAAATCTTGTCACAATTTATAAAATGTATAGTAATTTATATATTGGAATAAAATTTGTGTTAAAATTACTTCAACATATTTGAATGTATTCTTCATACTATATTAAACACCTCTTCCTTCCCTCACCACAAAAATTTGTTAAACATCTTCCTTTCATGAGAGATAACTAAGAATTCGGGACTTTGTAAAAGTACTAATATTTTGTTTTCAAAGCTGTCTCTTATAGTGAGGCTCTGTTTTTAGTTTCCTTTTCACTATATCTATACTAAAGAAAAAAATCTCATTTGTTACTTCTTAATTTTTCACATGACAAATGCTAGGAGAAGATTAATATGTTAGTGGACATAATAACATTTAAATTAATTGCAATTATGTTTATTATAAACTCATACATTTGATCCCAAAGTATAAGACAGTATCAGGTTGAGGGAGATTTATTGTAATTAAGTGTTTGTGCTAAAAAAAATTGCAGGTGGTTACTCACCTACTCGGTATGAAACAGTAAAATTGAGATGGTATTCTAGAAAAAAATTGAGAGATTAAATACAATGAATTGGAGACATTTCAAGTTATAAACACAGCATTTATTTTAGAATGCTATCATAGAAACAGTACAAAAGATATCTTGTACAACATGGTAGACATCTTTGGTAAAACATTTATATTGCATCAGAAGTGATTTAAGTGGCATTAATTTAATTATACTTTTCAGACTGAGATATTTTTATAGAAACTGAATAGATCATAAGTTGGCTAGAGAACACAGTGTTCACTGTATATGTTGTCATGAAAAAAAAAAAACAGACAATTAAGGAGATAAAGTGTCCAGGATATGGTAGAATATGAAAAAAGAAGACAATAGACCAAATAAATATAGACCAAATAAAGGGCAGTCCATAAAAGATAATTTTTATGCATTACAATAGAGAAACCTGTTTCTCAAAAATTCTTTTCAGGCAGCATGCTGAATTTCTTTGATAGGCTTACTAGGTTAGAAGTAGAAACTGTATGACTACTGAGATTGTACTTATAACCAATATGTAATATTATCTTCTAGCAGAAAATTATTGCTTTATTGTCCAAATCAAAACAAAACAGAGGTCTATTAGTTGCCTTTTTTTGAACTAGTTTTACTGTTTTTTTCTGTAGCCTCAGCTCTTTGAGGCTTTGCCTTTCTTGACACTTTGTGTTTGTTTATGTCTTCTTGTCATGTCACATTTTGGCAAAAGTCATTGTTTACAAGTATAAATCTCACCAGAGTGGAACCCATATCCATCTTCCTTACTGATCTATCTCTGGGGAGAGAGTGTATTGCCCAGAACATAACAGGCTCTCTTCGTGTTTCTAGTATAAATAGATAAATTGAATACCCATGTTAATCATTTCGTTAACATTAAACCATATCTTTTCAGAGCTGTGAACCAGGAATCACAAGTATCTCTCATTACAGGAGTTAATTTGTGTTATAACTAAATAAATGGAATTTGGAAACGATGAATTCCTGGCAGGGCTTACTAGGGATGTTATTTTCTGATAAGGAATACAAAGTATCTTGTTTCGAGGAACCATCTGAGGATTTGCAGTATTTATCTGATGTAATCATTATGATTCGCTTTTGTCATAGAATGAGAGGAAACACAAGCATAATTTAAAAATAAAGCTCTATAATAAAGCTTATGAAGAAAACATTTTTTAGATAAAATATTCATGAAGATATTGCTTGAGATTTCTCTATTCTAATTATTTTACAAAATGTTCACTTAAAAATCTGTCTTCAAAGGTTATAACTAATGTTATGATTGTATTATAATAAAACTGTCCTTAAAAGGCTAATTCATTTTTCTAAAATTCTCTCATTAAACATATAAATATTAAAAAGAATAATGATACAACTAGTACCTATGTTCCCACCACCTCGTTTATAGGCTGATTTATTAACAAATGTGAATACACATTTCTATTTTAAGATGAAAAGTGTCCAGAATTAAAGCAGGAAATGGAAACATTGCTATCAGAGGCCATTCATCTCATTAAAAGTCTAGAAACTGACCGTGCAGAAGCTGAAGAAGCTTTAAAACAACAAAAATCAAGAAAGAAGAAGATGCACATGAAAATTGATTCTTGGTCAATCTGGAGACTTCAAGAAATCCCATTAGCTGTGCAGAAAGGTAATAATAAGAATTTTTTCATATTGCCATTTACTTTGTTCAAGAGGCATGAATAATCAATTGAAGCCCTGAAAAAAAGTCAACTCTGACCATATTGTTTTGCATCCAAACTAGTGCACTTTTTGATATATGCTATTAATGATAATGCTGATATCATTTATATAGCTGAGACTGCACTGAGCAAATCTGTACCTTCTGTAGTCTGGTGTTTGTTGGTAATTCCATAGTATTTATGGTAACATGGGACATTTAAATTTTTGGCACATATTTCCTATGATGACTACATTATAGTGTAATTTGAAATTTAGAAATTTAAGTGATTTCCAATTGGTGTCATTGGCTAAATCTTTAAATTTAGGAAAATAAGAGAGTTTTAAAGTGATACTTTAGCAACATGCATCTGCTTTTGAGAATTCAGTAGTAGATTTTATTGAGAACTTCTAGCAGGCAATAAAACTGGAGATGTTTCCAAGAGTCATGTAGGTAACATGTTTCAAAAGGAAACTTTTTTGTTTTAGACTATAGAATAAGGGACCTATGGTAAAGTATTAAACAGTCTAAGGGCATTGGATTTTTTATTCTCCAAGTACTGCCTGTTGAGCATGCCTACTACATGATTCTGCTGAGGCTGGACTTTGTTTATAAATAAATTTTAATTCAGTTAAAAATTTTAATTCAGGATTCACATGCTTTATAAGTGGGTTATATGAGGGAGCTCATAAACCTATCGTTTAAACTAAGACACTTTTGAAAGGAAAAGGGAGGCTATTAATTATTACCCTAAGACGTGAAATTATTTGTCAAACTGGACACTTACAAACACCTTTGTTATATGTCTTCTAAAACTATAGTTTTCAAGTAGGGTGTGCACATTTTTGGGAGTTGCAAGAAAAGATTAGAACTTTTATTTATATTTTTAAACTTTATTCTTTTTATTTTCTTTCTTGATTTGGGTTTTAATTTTGCTTTTATTGTACCTGACAAAATACAGCTACCCAGTGGTTCCTCGATTATATTATTTTAATAAAATAAATTACATGTAGTTTCAGTGACTGTTACTCCTTTTAAAGTAAAACTGAGCTCACAGATTGAACTCACCATTTGTTCACTCCCTTCTGGAGCAGAACTCAAAAAGCAGGAAATCACCCAGAGCCTGGGCTGGATGAATTTAATTCAGCCTTTGTCTATGCTCTTTGTTGCCCTTTATAAAGAGTTAATTCTAAAAATCATGCAAAAAGTGCTCTAAACTCAGGTAAGAGTAGGCCCTTTTCTACATATACTTTAAAGTATGCATTTTACAAAACATTTGGTTTCTATAGCTGTTTATAAAAATAAATAATTCAGGCTTGGAGTGAGTTTGTTCTGATTCACAAAGTTTTTGAATAGAATTTATGATGTGCATACTGTACTAATACAATAACATAAGTATGTAATTTATAAATGCATACTTATATATATATTGGTGTTTTAGAGGCAACCAAAGATACAATAGGGCCAGAATAGGCATCCTGGGAAATTCTGGAGCCCAGTAGATTCTTGAGCAGATTCACATTCACATCCACAAGGATTCATCTGCAATTTTTATAAAAAAGATTTATTTATTTGAGAGAGAGAGCACGAGAGAGGCAGAGGGAGAGGGAGAGAGAATCAGACTCCATGCTGAGTGTGGAGCCCAAGGCAGAACTCGATCTTACAATGCTGAGACCACAACCTGAGCTGAAACCAAGAGTCAGATACTTAGCCAGCTGTGCCACCCAGACGCCCTTGCAATTTTTAAAAAATGTTTGGGAAGCCTTTCCTTATCAGTAGTAGTAGAAAAGTCAGTGGTAGCTGGTTTTATTTAATATTTTGCTGATAAATTTCTATATAATCTCATATGGCCTTTATAAGAGTAGATAGTGTATTTTGTGGTTTATATGAAGTTCTACTTAAGGAATTGCCAAAATAAAATTAAATTGAGATACATACATGCATATTCTACATACCTTATAAATGCATTTTCAATGATGGAATATATTCTTGCCATTGTTGATAATTTATTGCTTGGGCTATCTTTGATTTAAAGATCTACCTAAAGGTCTTTAAAAAAACTATTAAAGATCTACTTAAAAAACTGAAATTTATGTTCATCTGCTTTATTTTATTTAAGTAGCTAACACATGCAATGAAATTTAAATTCATTATTACTATATGGTTTTTAAGTGCCTTCTGTTTGTAAAATATTCCTGAAAAGTGATGTGCTTTCAGGAATATATTGCCTTTATATTGATATTATTTAGGATAAAATTTCTAAATTTTATAATTTTTTTACAGGTTACAGAATTATATATTCTTATAGATTTTAGATTCCCAAAGTCTCTAGCTTATGTGACAAGAAAACTTTTAATCTCTTTAACAGCCTTAATATTAAGTATGATGTTTATAGGATTTCTAATAATTTTTATAAAAAACTTATATTTATAATTAATGAAAATATTAAAGAAATTCAATTTTTTCTAGATATCTTGTGGTCACTCCTCCAGACCCATCTATCCCCCTAACTAGCCCACTCACACTTGTATCTTCTGTTTTGTGATCCATGAGGCTGATTGATAATGGATTGAATCAAAGATATCTTTTGTAATCTGTCTTCTTGCTGGTTCAACCACTGGGAATTAGTGGCAAGAGACCATGAGAGATAATGGAGAAGAGTAAGGGTGGGGTTTTATACCCTTGACTACTTTCCTTTCTACTTGGTCACCTCACCCCCCCACACACACAGAATGACAGCCACTGGCACCCAATATGCAGCCAATAATCTAGCAAATGTCTTTTCATTTTCCTACCAAAAATATAATCAGAAATAAGTTTTTCATCAGAAATTGGGTGTTACATGAACTTATAAATTATAAAATTAGATATGCACAGCTGTATTTCCTTAAAAAATAAAAGAGTATGTGTATTTATTACACCCAAGCTAAAGTAATTACTCAGGTTTCCCTGGTACTCTCATTGTACCTGCTTCTTTAGATTCTCTGTCTTTTCCTTACCCTACATTCATGGCTCTGTTGGTACTACTTCCCAATGACTGATTACCTAATGGAAGAGAAAAAAATCAAAGACCTCTTTATGTATGGATTTTAATGGTATGTTGACATAATTTGGGGAGCTACTGTTTTACAATCTCAATATGGGAAGGGTAAAGACAGATTACCTTGAAGAAGAGATGTCCTGGGATACAAATGGGAAGTAGGAAAAAGGATGGCATAATGGGGGTTGGAAAGAACATGAATGTTAAGACTGGTGAAAGGAAGTCTAGGAGAGTGTTCTGGGGATTGACCTTTCAGAGAGGATGGAGTGTGAAGATAACTGTGTCCCATAGAGATGCTCACAAGAGTGCTTCTACTGTGGAAGAAGATCTCAGCAATAACACAATATTAAATCTTCTAATTTTGTTTTGCATTGTTTAGTCACATGAATTAATGTTATTTACTACAATAATGCTTTGTAATAAATCGCCTTGGAACACAGTGGCTTACAACAATAAGCAATTTTTAATATAAGCTATCCTATTTGTAATAATTTTCAGTTGATTCTTTTGTGTTTTGATATATAATTGTATCAATAGAAAATAGTATTTATTTTTTCCTTTCTGACATTTATAACTATCTCATTGTTTTACGTCTAGATGATTTTAGAAGGCCTCTACTCTTGCAGTTTCTCTCATTTTGTAATTCATAGAGTGGTTATACATAACCCAGTATATACATTGGTTGTAATAGGCAGGATTTGTACTAAAACAATTATTAGCTTATAAAACATAGATTTTAATCCATTTTCTAATAAATGATGAAAGCAGTATATTTTATAATGCAATACTAAGATAACTTAAATTTAGTAAGCTTCACAGATAAGTAATTTCTGAATCTAAAGTATTTCATATGTCTCTATTATCAAATAAAGGTTTCTTTCTGGAGTTCTTGTTTTAAAATCAGATTTTTCTTTTGTTATTATTGTATGTCTAGAACATGAGGCCTATTTGAGAGATATTGTAGAATTACGATGGCATCTTGAAGATAAAGCTTATCAACTAAAACATTTTGAGGAACAAAAGGCAAAATTAGAAGAAGCTAATGCAAAGCTTCAAGCAGACATAGACTACATGAATAAACTTGGTCCTCTAATTTACTCAAAACAGAACCAAGAACTTGAAGCTCTGAAAGAATTTTATACAAAAAAATTTGAGGTAAATGAATAATGAATAGATATGCATTTTATAGATTGTTACTTAGATATAAAAATATTTCAGCTATTAGAAATTAACATCTTTAAATGTTTCATTTTCACTAAAAATTGACTTGCTATTTATTTCCCAAAGGAACTATTAAACTACACATAATACAGTCAATTGATATTCATTTAAACTGTGTTATCTTCCCTTTTATACTTAGGAGTAATAATATTTAGTCTACCTACTAATACAATTTTGGAGATTTAAAACAACATGATAATTTTTGAAGTTGTAAGTCAAGCTGGGAGAGAATGCAAGCAGAATATATCAGTCATTTTCACTGTTGATGATAATAAACTGTAAAATCTTTTCAATGATTAACATTTAACTCTCCTATTGTGGGATTGTATTATAGAAAAATAAATTATTTATACCTGCCACTAAATGAATAAATTTAATTCATATTCATTTTATTTTTTATTATTTCAAAGTAAATAGAATTGTTAAATGTGTCCTGTATTTTCAACAGTACCATTTTCCTCCATCACTCTCCAAAGACAACCTTATCAGGAAAATCTGTTTCTAGGCGAAATTTGTATGTTTTTATACATATATACATGTATATGTATATATGTATATGTATATTTGTATATTTAAGCACAGTGCATGGTTTCTTTATTATTCTTCAAATAGTATCAAACATTGTATAAGTTCCTGCAGGTTTTTTTTTAATCTGACATTGTTTTAGAGGTCAAGCTACTGTTCATTCATTTTACTTGCTGTTTTGGATTTGACACCAAAAGCAAAGCTAACAAAAGCAAAAATAAACAAGTAGGGATACATCAACCTAAAAGCTTCTACATGACAAGAGGAACCATCAACAAAATGAAAAGACAATCTACTGAATGGGAGAAAATATTTGCAAATCATATATTTGATAAGGGGTTAATATCCAAAATAAAAAATTTCATACAACTCAACACCAAAATAAGACAATATGATTTAAAAATGGGCGGAAGATCTGAATAGATATTTTTCCAAAGAAGACATACAAATAACCATCAAGTACATGAAAAGATTCTCAACATCACTATTCATCAGGGAAATGCAAATCAAAACCACAGTGAGAGATCATCTCATACTTGTCGGAATGGCTATTATCAAAAAGACAAGAAGTAACGTGTTGGCAAAGATGTGGGAAAAGGGAACCTTTGCATACTGTTGCTGGGAATGTAAATTGGTGCAACCACTGTGGAAAACAGTATGGAGGTTTCTCAGAAAATTAAAAATGGAACTGTCATATGACTCAGCAATTCCACTTCTGGGTATTTATTAGGAGAAAAAACACAAATTGAAAAGATGTGTGCACCCCCATGTTCATTGCTGCATTATGTACCATAGCCAAGATATTGAAACAACCTAACTGTCCATCAATGGATGAATGGATAAAGAAGATGTGGGGTGTGTGTGTGTGTGTGTGTGTGTGTAATGGAATATTACTCAGCCCCCCCCCAAAAAATAAAATCTTTCCATTTGTAACAACAGGGATGTACCTTGAGGGCATTATGTTAAGTGAAATAAGTCAGACAGAGGAAGACAAATACCATATGATCTCACTTATATGTAGAATCAAAAGAAAAACAAAACAAAACAAAAAAACAATTTCATGGATACAGGGAACAGATTGGTGGTTGCCCAATGCAGGGTTTAGAAGATGAATGAAAAGGGAGTCAAAAAGTACAAACTTCTAGTTATAAAATACATAAGTCATGGGGATTTAATGTACAGCATGGTGACCATAGTTAATACTATTGTAGTACATACTTGAAAGTTGCTAAGAAAGTACATCCTAAAAGTTCTCATCACAAGAAAAAAGTTCTAGCTATGTATGGCAATGGATGTTAACTAGACTTACTGTGGTGATCATTTCACAGTATATAGAAATATTGACTCATTATGTTTTATACCTGAAACTATTGTATATTAATTGTAGCTCAATAAAAAAATTAAAAACTTATGCATCAAAGGACACTATCAATATCTGATGAGAGGTTAATATCCAAAATATGTCAAGAACTTACATAACACCAAAAAAATAAGTAATACAATTAAAAGATGGGCAGAGGACCTGAAAGATATTTTTCCAAAGAAGACACACAGATGGCCAATAGATACATGAAAAGATGCTTAACATTTCTAATCATCAGGGAAGAATAAATCAAAACCATAGTGTGATATCACCTTGCACGTTTCAGAATAGCTAGAATCAAAAAGACAAAAAGTAGCAAGTGTTGACAAGGATATGGAAAAAAAGGATATGCACTGTTGTGGGAATGTAAATTGGTGCAGCCACTGTGGAAAACAGTATGGAGGTTCCTCAAAAAATTAAAAATAGAAATTCCATATGATCTAGTAATTCCACTACTGGGGATTTACCCAAATAAAACAAAAACACTAATTCGAAAGATATATGCACCCATTTTTTATTGCAGCATTATTTACAACAACCAAGATATGGAAACAACCTCAGTGTCCATCGATAGGTGAATGGATAAAGAAGATGTGGTATACGTATATACAATAGACTCTTACTTAGCCATAAAATACGACAAAATCTTGCCATTTGTGCCAACATGGATGGACCTCTAGAGGATATAATGCTAAGTGAAAAAATCAATCAGAGAAAGACAAATATTGTATGATTTCACTTATGTGTGGAATCTGAAAAACAAACAAAAACTAGAAATAGACCTATAAATACAGAGAACAAAGTGATGGCTGCCAGAGGGGAGGGAGTGGAAGGATAGGCAAATGGATAAAGAGGAACAGGAGGCACAGGCTTCCAGTTACAGAATAAATAAGTCACTGGGATAAGAGGTACAGCATAGTAGGGGTGCCTGGATGGCCCAGTTAGTTAAGTGTCTGACTCTTGGTTTTGTCTCAGGTGGTGATCTCAGGGAGATTGAACCCTGTGTCAAGCTCCATGCTCAGTGCAGAGTCTGCTTGAGATTCTCCCTTCCTCCCTCTGCCCATCCCATGCTTTGTCTCTCTCTCTCTTTCTCAGATAAATAAATAAATCCTTAAGGAAAAAAAAGGTACAGCATAGGGAATATAGTCAATGATACTGTAATAGCATTGTATGGTGACAGATGGTAGCTACACTTGTGGTGAGCACAGCATAATGTATGGATTTGTTGAATCACTCCTGAAACTAATTTAACATTGTGGGTCAACTGCATGTAACTGTATGTCAATGAAAAAAAGTAAAAAAGAAGTATACTATCAGAAAAGTAAAAAAAAAAAAAAAAAACCTATAGAATGAGAGAAAATATTGCAAATTACACTTGAGAAGGGTATAGTACCTAGAATATATAAAGAACTTTCAAATTCCACAACCAAGACAAACAACCAAATTAAAAATGGGCAAAGGACTTGAATAGATATATCTCCAAAGACATACAAATGGGCAGCAAACATTTGAAAAGATAGATGCTCAACATGATTAGTCATTAGGGAAATGCAAACCAAATGGGAATAAATATAACACAGAAAATAACAAGTTTTAGTGTCTATGTGGAAAAATTGGAACTGTGGTACTTTGCTGGTAGAAATGTAAAATGGTTGCAGATGCTGTGGAAGAGACTCTGGCATTTCCTCAAAAAGTTTAACACAAAATACCATATGCTCTAGCAATTATACTCTGAGGTATATACTCCAAAGAATTGAAAACTGATAATCAAAAAAAACAAAAGGAAAAGTTGTACATAAATGTTCATAGCAGCAGTGTTTGTATTAGCCCAAGGTGGAAACAACCCGATGTCCATCACCTAATTAATGACTAAATAAAATGTGATATATCTATACCATTGAAAGAAATTTAAAAAAATGAAGTACTGTTATATGTCACAACACAAATCAACTTTGAGGCATTATGCTAAAGAAGCCAAACACAAAAGATCACATCCTGTATGATTTCATTTATATGAAATATCCAGGATAGATAAATCCATAAAACAGAACAGATTAGTGATTGCTAGGGGCCAGGGGATGTATAATGTAGTGTTTTATTTATAGTCCCTTTATCATATAACTTTATTTTATTCTGCTGTCTTGACTCAGTTTCGGGGTCCTGGGTAGAGATCTGCTGAAATAAATAATTGCTTAAAGGACTCAAGGCCTCTAGTCAGTGTGCTTGAGCCCTACTGCATAACTTGCAAATTGCAGATACTTGCAAATCAAGCTCCAAGGCTCTATGTTGCCTCCAAATTCTGCAAGCAGCCCAGCCTCATAACGCCACAGAGCCAGAAGAGTATTATGCACATCAATTGGAGTGAGTATCAATGGGGGAAGTATATACCAGTGCCACACGGACCCAACTCAAGAGCTTGCCTTGGAGATGAATTTGTCTCATATGATGTAACCTGGTTCCCAACATGGAGACCATCACCCCAGCAATGCCTACAGGTTACCTCTTCTAAAGGTGCTGAAAAATTGGACATGGGATACTTGATATTAGGAATTCTGTTATGTTTCCTGACCTCTTGTTTGCTTAGCTCATCATTCTGGTGAGCTCCTAGCTCTCTACTAAAATGTATACCCCTACATTCCTATGCCTAAAGGATAATCTTGTAGAGGTTACTACTACCTGTGCTCTTCGAAAAATTAATGAACATTATTGCTTCTTTCAGGAAGCAATTGCTTTATTTCAGTCCACCAGTTGACCCACTGGGGAGGGGACTGTTCACTCCCTACTGCCTTCTACTCCCCTCCCTCTGACTTTCCAGCAGGACATCAGACTACAACTCTCTCTTCTTCATAGGTTGACAGAGAAGGGAGAAATGGAGAGGGAAGGGAGAATGTTTATGATATTTGATAATTAATAAAAACAATAAAAATGGAATATTTTGGACCCTTTCATTAAGGTAATAATGGTTATTCCTGAGAGGATTATAGTTGATTTCATTTACTTTCTCATCTGTGTTTTCTGATTTTTCTACCATTAAGTATTATTTCAACAATAAAAACAATAAAAAGTAGCAATTCTTTTGTAGGTTAAAAAATAATTATTTTGCTCATGTCACCTGTAATATTGAACTTTTCTTCAATAACTTTTATACATCGCTAGTATTAATGCTAGTATTAATGCTTCTCAGACTAGTGGAAACCTAAAACTTTACTGTGTTAAACAGATTAATATGGGAAGAAAAATCGATGTAAAGAACTTTTTCTTTAGATCAAAACTACTTTAAATTTAAGTCCTTTCTCTGATTTTTCTCTTACCTGATTCTTTTAATTACCCCTTAAGTGCATTAACAAAAGTGTATTAACAAAAGTATTTTTCATTTCTAGGTAATGGAGTTATACAAACAAATTCATGAAGAACTTGAAGAAGCTATAGAAGATGTTGAAAATGCCAAATTGAATGCTAAACAAATTAGACAAGACATGGAGCAAGACATTCATAGTGATGAAACAAGCATAGAAGCCTACAAGTAAGAATTTTTCACTAATGCGGATTATAGCATTTAGAACAAAAATATTAATTAAAATGTAACTTATATTCCTGTATAAAGAATTCAGATAACGAGAAAGGAAAGAATCTAGATCACACATATTTATCTTATCACCAACTTTATATATAAATTAAGATATGTCTTTTACATATGTAATATACATATGTATAGATTCTTAAAGTACTATTTTTCTGTCATCTTATTTTATTTATAGGTTTTTAAAAATTTTAATTCCAGTGTTGTCAACATACAGTGTTGTATTATTTTCAGGTGTACAGTATAGTGATTTAACAATTCTGTACATAGTGCTCATCATGATAAATGTACTCTTTAATCCCCATCCCCTATTTCACCCATCCCCTCTCCCATATTCCCTCTGGTAACCATTAGTTTGTTCTCTGTAGTTAAGAGTCTATTTCTTGATTTTTCTCTCTCTTTTTTTCCCCTTTGCTCACTTGTTTTATTTCTTAAATTCCACGTATTAGTGAAATCATATGTTATTTGTCTTTCTCTGACTGACTGACTTTGCTTAGCATGATACTCTCTAGCTCCAGCCATGTTGTAGCAAATGGCAAGATTTCATTCCCTTTTATGGCTGAATAATATTTCATTGTATATATACACCACATCTTCTTCATCCATTGATATATCAGTGGACAGTTGGGCTGCTTCCATAATTTGGCTATTGTGAATAATGTTGCAATAAACATAGGGGCGCATGTATCCCTTTGAATTAGTGTTTTTGTATTTTGGAGGTAAATAACCCAGTAGTACAGATACTGGATCATAGGATAGTTCTATTTTTAACTTTTTGAGGAATCTCCGTACTATTTTCCACAGTGGCTCCACCAGTTTGCTTTCCCACCAACAGTGCATGAAGGTTTCTTTTTCTCCATATCCTTGCCAACACCTGTTTCTTGTGTTTTTTTTTTAGCCATTCTGACAGGTGCGAGGTGATATCTCATTGTAGTTTTGATTTTAATTTCCTTGATGATGAGGGATGTTGAGCATATTTTCATGTGTCTGTTGGCCATCTGTATGTCTTCTTTGGAGAAATGTCTGTTTTTCATGTCTTCTGCCCATTTTTTAATTGGATTATTTGTTTTTTGGGTGTTGAGTTCTGTCAGTTCTTCATGTATTTTTCATATTAACCCTTTATCAGATATGTCATTTGCAAACATCTTCTCCCATCAATAGGTTGCCTTTTAGTTTTTTTGGTTGTTTCCTTCACTGTGCAGAAGCTTTTCCTTTTGATGTAGTCCCAGTAGTTTGTTTTTATTTCCCTTACCTCAGGAGACCTATCTAGACAAATGTTGCTATGGCCGGTGTCAGAGAAATTACTGCCTGGGATCTCTTCTAGGACTTCTATGGTTTCAGGTCTTACATTTAGGTCTTAATCCATTTTGAATTTATTATTGTGTATGGTGTAAGAAAGTGGTCTGGCTTCATTCTTTTGCATGTAGCTGTTCAGTTTTCCTACCACCATTGTTGAAGAGACTTTTTTTCCCATTGTATATTCATTCCTCCTTTGTCAAAGAATAATTGACCATATAATTGCAGGTTTATTTCTGGGTTTTCTACTTTGTTCCATTGATTTATGTGTCTGTTTTTGTGCCAGTACTATACTGTTTTGATTGCTACAGCTTTGTAGTATAGCTTGAAGTCCAGAATTGTGATGTCTCCAGTTTTGCTTTTCCCTTTCAAGATTGCTTTAGGGGCGCCTGGGTGGCTCAGTTGGTTAAGCGACTGCCTTCGGCTCAGGTCATGGTCCTGGAGTCCCGGGATCGAGTCCCGGGATCGAGTCCCGCATCGGGCTCCCTGCTCGGCAGGGAGTCTGCTTCTCCCTCTGACCCTCCTCCCTCTCATGCTCTCTGTATCTCATTCTCTCTGTCTCAAATAAATAAATAAAATCTTTAAAAAAAAAAAAAAGATTGCTTTAGCTTTTTGGATTCTTTTGTTGTTCCCTACAAATTTTAGAATTGCTTGTTCTAGTTCTGTGAAAAATGCTGTTGGTATTTTGATAGGGATTGCATTTAATGTGTAGATTGCTTTGGGTAGTATAGACTTTTTAACAATATTTGATTTTCCAATCCATGAGCATGGAATGTCTGTCCATTTCTTTGTGTCATCTTCACTTTCTTTCATCAGTGTCTTATAGTTTTCAGAGTACAGATCTTTCACTTCTACAGTTAAGTTTATTCTTAATTATCTTATTATTTTTGGTGCAGTTATAGATGGGATCATTTTCTTAATTTCTCCTTTCTCTGCTTCATTATTAGTGTATAGAAATGTATGTTAACTAACTAGAGTTTAAATAAAAACTTGAAACAAGAAAAAAAAAGAAATGCAACGGATTTCTGTACATTGATTTTTGTATACTGTGACTTTACTGAATTCATTTATCAGAACTAGTAGTTTTTTTATGAAGTCTTCATGGTTTTCTATATATTGTAGCATGTTATCTGCAAATAGTGAAAGTTTTACTTCTTCCTTAAAAATTTGGATGCCTTTTATTTCTTTTTGTTGTCTGATTGCTATGGCTTGGACTTCCAGTACTGTGTTGAATGAAAGTGATGAGAGTGGACATCCTCGTCTTGTTCCTGACCATATGTGAAAAGCTCTCAGTTTTTCCCAAATGAATATGATGTTTGCTGTGGGTTTTTCATATATGGCCTTTATTATGTTAGGGTATGTTCCCTCTAAACCTACTTTGTTGAGGGTTTTTATAATGTATGATGTTGTACTTTGTCAAATGCTTTTTCTGCTTCTATTGAAATGGTTTTATCCTTTCTCTTATTGATGTGATGTATCATGTTGATTAATTTTTTAATATTGGACCACCCTTGTATCCTGAGAATAAATCCCACTCGATTGTGGTAAATGGCTTTTTTTACTGTATTGTTGGATTTGGTTTGCTAGTATTTAATTGAGAACTTTTGCATCTATGTTTATCAGCAATATTGGCCTGTAATTCTGTTTGGGGTTTTTTTTGGGGGGGGTGGGTTTGACTGATTTTTATGGATACACTTTTTTGGATACACTTTTTTTTTTTTTTTTGGTGCCTTTATTTGGTATTGGTATTATGGTAATGCTGGCCTCATAGAATGAATTTTGAAGTTTATCTTCCTCTTCTATTATTTTGCAATAGTTTTAGAAGAAATGTTTGGTAGAATACACCTCTGAAGCTGTCTGGTCCTGGACTTTTGTTTGTTGGGAGTTTTTGTTTACTGATCCAATTTCCTTGCTGGTAATCAGTCTGTTCAAATTTTTTATTTCTTCCTGATTCAGTTATGGTAGATTATATGTTTCTAGGAATTTATCCATTTCTTCTAGGTTGTCCAATTTTTGGCATACAATTTTTCATAATATTTTCATTTAATTGTATTTCTGTGGTGTTGGTTGTTACTTCACCTCTTTAATTTGTGATTTTGTTTGAGTCCTCCTCTCTTTTTTCTGTCTTTTTTTTTTTTTTTTTTTCATGAATCTGCCGGTAGGTTTATAAATTTTGTTGATCTTTTCAAAAACCAGCTTCTGGTTTCATTGGTCTGTTCCACTGTTTTATTAGTTTTTCTGTCATTTATTTCTGCTTTAGTCTTTCTTCTTTCCTTCCTTCTCTTGGTTTTAAGTTTTGTTTGTTATTCTTTTTCTAGCTCCTTTAGGTGTAAGGTTAGGTTTGATTCTTTTTTTTCTTGCCTCTTGACATAGGCCTCTATTGTTTATAAACATCCCTCTTCAAACCATCTTTGCTGCATCCCAAATATTTGGATCCTTTTGTTTTTATTTTTATTTGTTTGCAGATAATTATTTATTTCTTTTTTGATTTCTTGTTTGATCCATTCATTGTTTAGTAGCATATTATTTAACCTCCATGTATTTGAGGTCTTTCCAGATTTTTTCTTGTGGTTGATTTCTAGTTTCATAGCATTGTGATCAGAAAAGATGTATAGCATCACTTAAATGTTTTTTAATTTGTTGAGACTTGTTTTATAGCCTAATATGTGATCTCTTTTGGAAAATATTTGTGTGCACTTGACTTGAAAAGAATGTGTATTTTGCTGTTTTAGGATGGAATGTTAAGTCCATCTAATCCAGTATGTCATTCAAAGCCACTGTTTCCTTGTTGATTTTCTGTTTGGGTGATCTGTCCGCTGACGTAAGTGGAGTATTAAAGTCCCCTACTATTATTGTATTACTATCAATTAATTCCTTTAAGTTTTTTATTAACTGCTTTATGTATTTGGGTTGAGTACATAAATATTTACAGTTGTTATATCTTCTTGGATTGTCCCCTTTATTATTACATAGTGCCCTTCTTTGTCTCTTATTACAGTCTTTGCTTGAAAGTCTATTTTCTCTGTTACAAGTATTGCTACCCCAGCTTTCTTTTGACATCCATTTGCATGATAAATGTTTCTTCATCCCCTCACTTTTAATCTGCGTGTGTCTTTAGCTCCAAAATGAGTCTCTTATAGACAGCATATAGATGGCTCTTTATTTTTTTATCTTCTCTGTCACCATGTCTTTTTTTTTTTTTTTTTTGGAGTGTTTAGTCCATTTGTATTCAAAGTAATTATTGATAGATATGTATATGTTGCCATTTTGTTACTTGTTTTGTGGTTGTTTTTGTGGTTTTTCCCTGATCCTTTCTTCTCTTGCTCTCTTTCACAGGTTTTACTGGTCTTTGATTTTTGGGTACCATTAGGTTTTTATATAACATCTTCCCATATACATATAGCAGTGTATATTAAGTTGAGGATTGCTTAAGTGGAACCCACTCTTTACTCCTCTCTCCCCAAGTTTTAGGTATATGGTGTCATATTTTATGTCTTTTTATTTTGTAAATCCCTTGACTGATTTTTATAGATACACTTATTTTTACTGCTTTTGTGTTTTCTATTTCATACTTTCACTTATGGTCTTTCCTTTCCACTCAGAGAGTCCTCCTTAATATTTCTTGTAGGGCTAGTTGATTGGTCATG